TTCCATATGTTTTTTAATCAAATTTTTATTTTTCTTTAATCTTTCTAAAGTAGCAGTACAATTATCATAAATATAAATTTGTCCTGAAGAAGGCCTTGTTCCTTTTTTTACAAAAATACTATTTGGTGTTGTATGATAAACCTGACCCTGAATTTTTAAATTGTAAACCCCTTTGTTCAAAAATTTTACCGTTTTTGCATTAAAAGTAACAAAAGAAAAGGCATTATTATAATATCTAATTAAGTCTCTAAAATTTTTATCATATAAAAGAAGTTTTAAGTTTTTATCATAATCTTTTAAAGGAGAAAGCTTTACTTTACCACCATGACAACAACTTTTTTTTGAAAATTCAACAGACCAAAACATCGCTCCACAATGACTACATTTATAATCCATTTCCCCAAAATCTGAAAAATTTGTTTTTACTTTACAGTATTTTATAATTAGTTGGTTCTTTCTTCTTTTATCTAATCGTTTGCTGTCCATATTTTCTACTAAATCTCCATTTCTTTTCTTATCCAATCTTTCTTTATTCATGTTTTTCATTAAATCACCTTTCCTTTTCTTATCCAGTCTTTCATTACCCATATTTTCCTTTAAATCTCCTTTCCTTTTCTTATTCAATCTTTCTCTATCCATATTTTCTATCAAATCTCCTTTCCTTTTCTTATTCAATCTTTCTCTATCCATATTTTTCACCAAATCTCCTTCTCTTTTCTTAACCAATCTTTCATTTGTCATATTACAAACCAAATTATATTTTCGTTTTTTTTCCTTCAAGAAATCATTGGAAATATTTATTCTTCTTTTAAATAATATTGAGTCTTTATTTTTTTCATAGTATAATTTATTGTAATTTTTTTCGCGATTATTCAAATAATTTGTATTTAAGCAATTTAAAATATCATAATGACCGCTATCTATAGTTCCCGACAATAAAAGGATAAGTTGATTGTTATTCGAATTATCGCCAAAAACTCGTGTATTATTAAAAGTACTATGATGTACTTCTACATAAATGTTATACATAGCCACAAAGGCTTGAATTTCGACCTCTCCCCCATAATTACCATTTTCAGACATATATGTAATTTGTATGAATTTTGATTTGATAAAATTTGATTATAGGACTCATCTCCTACTATAAATGGTTCATAGAAAGTCCAATTTTTTAATACATATGAAATAATGTTTAATCTTATTGTTCTGTGTTTTTCTTGATCATTATATAAAAAAAAAGAAAATGATCGAAATAAACAATTTCCGTCTCCAACTATTTTAACTTGGATTTTATTCATGTTCATTTTATAAATTAACCCAACTTTTTGATTAATTAATTAAAAATATTATTTATCAAATAAAGCATTCAAAATATTATTTATTTAATTTGTATAAAACTGGTCTAAAAAATTTAATTTGTAACTGGTCTAAAAAATAACTGAAATTTTTTTGTAACCAATTCAATTCAGTAAAAATTAACCATTTTTGAATTATTTTATAAATACTTAGTTTTTACTAATTGATGGAGTAAAAAATTAGGCACCATTTTTCTGACACTTATCAATATTTTTCAAATTAAGATTTTAAAAAAAAGTTTTTCGAAGAAAAGCTCTTTTAAAAAAATAATTTTTGGTTAAATACAAATGTAAAATTTACCTTTATTGTACAAAAATATATTGCCGCTTACACTGACTGAAATTCGACCAAACAACACCACTGAACTGCCGCTATTGATACCACGAAGACACGAAGATTATCATCAGTTAAAATTGTTGGCTTTTCTTCAACAGGAATTTAAATTTGTCTACAAAATAACTGTAATTTTTTTGTAACCAATTAGGCACCATTTTACCGACATTTATCAATATTTTTCAAATTATTTTCATAAATTTTCCTCAATTCAATCATTTTTAATACAAACTATTTTAATACAATTTTCCAAAAGAATTCAATTATTTAAAAATTTGTTGATTAAATTCTTTATGAGAATTCAATTTTGAAAAACATTTATTTATTCAATAAATTATTAATTACGTAGAATTTTCAAATAAAAATTGATTTAAAAATGAATTACAGTTAAAATTTTACATAATAATTGAATATTAAAAGAATTATTAATTTTCAAAAATAATTGAATTTTGAATATTTTTAAAAATAATTAAATTTATTGAGGAATTTAATTAAAATTGTATTAAAAATAATTCAAATTCTTGTAGTTCCAAGAAGAAAGATCTTTTAAAAAAATAATTTTTGGTTAAATGCATAATTAAAAATATACCATTATTGTACAAAAAGATATTGCCGCTTACACTGACACTAATTTGCTGATTCCAAAAAATTAAAATTCGATCAAACAACACCACTGCACTGCTGCTATTGATTCCAGGAAGATTATCATCAATTAAAATTGTTGCCTTTTTTTCAACAGGAATTTAAATTTGTTCATATGCTACAAATATTATATTAAATTTTATTAATTATTAATTTTATTTTATTAATTATATTAATTTATATATTCCATTTAAATAATATTGTACAATTAAGAATTTTTTGCTTTAAGAATTGTAATGTAAAAAAATTGTTAAATGAACAAAATAAATACATTTTTAAATTAATAATATAATAATTAATATTATTATATACAGATAGGAAAATAATATATGTTACATTATTAAATATTAAAAATTACCAAAGAAAATAATAAAGAATAATACTTACAAATACGAATTCTTTATTTATTTTTGGTTAGATCTCAATGTTATTATTTATATGCAATTTTGATAACAGTGACATTTTATACTGTGAATATATCTTTTAACAAACAAATGAAGTTAGTTCAATTGTATTTTTGAAATGTCACAAAATTACATGTGAATCATTATTCGAAAAAATTAAATATTGTTTAAATTAATTATTGTTTAAATTATTTGTACAAATATCAATCTATAGGAATTTATAATTTATTTAAATATAAAATATTAAAATGGCTGAAGAAAATAGAAAACGTTCTCGACAAAATTCTTCAAACAAATATTCCAATAAAAAAATTAAAATTCCCGATATTCCATTTACAACAACTGAATTTTTAACAACTAAAAAAAATAAATATTATATATTATATTATAATATAATATATTATAATATATTATTATATTATATTATTATTATTATATATTATTATAATATTATTATTATTATTATTATTATATATTATTATATATTATTATTATATTATTGTTATTATTATTATTATATTATTATTATTATTTTTTTTTTTTTTTTTTTTTTTTTTTTTATTCACGGGGGAGAAGAGGAAATGCATTAACGCATGCCCAGGAAGATCCCACTTACCTGGGGTATGTCGGACTCGCACAAAATGCAAGGAAAAAAAAGAAACCTCACATACCTGCTTTTACGGCAGTCACAATACCGACTAAAACCTCTTCTTGATTCCCCTGGGTTTCGAACCTTCTATCCACCTACGGAACTACCTTTCGGCTTCAGACTTCGCAGATGGATGGTCCCATTTAGTCGCTGGCGCGACTCTTCCGTGCCGCTCTTCTTCTGGCCATTATTTTCTCCTTGTTCTTGACAGGGTCTTCTTAGCTTCCTCTAAGGCAGTCCTGAAGACCTTGCACCGACCTGATCCAGCGACGTGTTGGATGTTCTCCTTCTCGCCGAACTTCGCCTTGCATAAGAAGCAGCATGGGCTCTTCTTACAATCTGCTACCTTATGGCCGGCTTCTCCGCACTTGAAGCACGCAGCCGACCTGTCTACCTCTTGGCAATCTCTTCCTATGTGGCCGTAGCCAAGGCACCTATGGCACCTTGTGACCGTAGTTCTTCTTCTGACCTGGCAGGACACGAACCCAATTTTAATGTGTCCTATTTTCTCCAGCTTATCTGCATCCTCTTGGCTGGTGACAACGACAGCGAGCTTTACTCCTCGCTTGTTTGGGCCAAGGACCGCTACCCTTCTGCTCCCTGCTGGCACCGTAGAGATTTGCTCCAGGGCATTCAAAACGTCTTTCTTTTCAGTAAGGGCGTCCATATCGCGGATTTCCAACGTAGTTTGCCGGACCGCAATCTGCACCTTACCTAAATCGCCGATTACCTTTGTCACCTCCTCGGTGAACAGCTTCTTGTTTGAAGACCCTCCAATTTTAATGAGAAGGTCTCCCTTTTTAGTGGGTAAAGCTCCCACAACCCTTGTCTGGCTGGCCTCCAGGTCAGCCTCCCTTCGAACCTTCGCCAGCACTTCAGCGAAAGTTTTTCCTTCGGCCACTTTAACGATCACTGTGGCTCTTCCCTTCTTGACCTGGTCTGGCTTTGGAACCGTTTTGTTCCCCTTGCCTCCAGTCTTTTTTGGTTTCTCCTCCTTTTTCCTTTTTGGATCCTTCGCAGGCTCAGGATCACTTCTCTTCCGCTTCTGAGCATCCAAGACGACGTTTCTCAACACGATCGCGTTACAGCGATCTCGTCTAGCTCTACGATCCTGTCTGGCCTCTTCCGACCAAGTCAATCCCTGGTAGAGACTCTCATCTTTTTTGGTAGCTGCTGCGTGCTTCTCCTTTACGTCCCTTATGAGCGATGTTAAGCTTCTGAGTCCATCCTTGATTGTCCTATTGACATTCTTCTGGACTTCACAGGACTTCAGCATCTTGCTGACCTCCTCCTCCATTTCTAAAATGCTCGCTGCCTCTTCCTCCCGCAGCTTAATGCATTCATCTCGATCTTGGTTGCAGCTTGCAATGTCCTTTGCCGAGGCATTACTGAAGACAGAAATGCAGCTGGCTTGACTCGTCAAGCTGCTCGTACTCCCTCGTCTCTCCGACCTGTCCACGATGATCTGTGGCACTACCAACGCGTTGTTGCCCTCCTGCATCCTTGGGCCACTGGCCACCGTCCCCACGCTATGCGCTTGACGATCGGAACCAGTGAGGGATTTAGCCGTAGCATTACCCCGCAGGTACTCTTCCTCGTTTTTACAATCGCTCATGATGGATGTTTCTTGTTTGCTGGTTTTGGTCCGCGTCGAGTATTTGATTTCCTCGATACCACCTATTTCTAGGAAGCTAACCTATCCGCCACCTGGCACGCGTCCGATAGAGGACCAGCAACCCCGCGCAAAAGAACAGGTTCTAATGCGCCCCGGGTAGAACAAAAGTTCCAATTAGAACAAAAGTTCCAACCGGGCACGGATTATTATTATTATTATATTATTATATTATTATTATTATTATTATTATTATTATTATTATTTTATTATATTATTATTATATATTATTATTATTATATTATATTGATTTCTGTCTTATCGATGATAAGCAAAATAAATATATATCCGCTAAATTGACACCTTACCATCTTATAATAATTATTATCACGGAAAAAACCCATTACCATCTCATGATATTACAATAAAATTTCTACTATGCGTTGAAAAGTCGTGTGCTTGGTTTCTGAAATTAATGATATCGAATCTCTCTGTAGCTCAATTGGTAGAGCATCCTACCGGCAATAGAAAGGTTCTGGGATCATACCCCAGCGGTGAGAGACGATTCATTTTTTTCAGAAACCATGCACAAAATAAAATATATTTTCAAATATTAATGAAGTATTAATTTTGAAATATTGATTTCTGTCTTATCGATGATAAGCAAAATAAATATATATCCGCTAAATTGACACCTTACCATCTTATAATAAAATACAAAAAACTGATAAATTTGTGTAAGTATTTTAATTAAATTAAAATAAAATAATAAAACTTAATAATTGATTATATAAAATTTAATAATTAATTAATTTAATATTAATAAACAAATTGGTATGAAAATGTATGCTTAATTATATATTATTTTTTAACAGTTCTGTTATTTGCTATGTAGAACAAATAAATATAATTAAAAAATTCGACCGAAAAGATTCCGATAAACAATCCATGCTATTTAAATTCTTGTTAAATAATAATGAGGGCACAACGATTGATTGTTCTTCCTGGAATGAAGATGCTGTTCATTTTTTTTCAATAATAGAACCTCAGAGAGTAATTTTAATTTAATTTATTTATTTTATTATATAATTATATATTTTATTATATACAACATGAATTTATTTTATTTTAGAAAATACTTCTTCAAAATTTAACCGTAAAGCCTGCATCACCATTTAACCAAGGATCAGTTCCGTTTGAATTCGTACTCAAGAATTATACAAAAATTACTGATTTAGGGCATTTTAATATTTCAAATAACGATAGAGAAATAACAAAAATTAATTTTGAAAAATCTGAAGTGCTGAAAACTACAGGATGTGTCGAAATTGAAGGATTTTTAAGAGACGAATTTATTATACCTAATAGAAATAAGAACACTGAATATTTTGGCAGTATTACAAATGGCACATTCAAATTAATAGTTTCCGTTTCCAACGTCGTTGACAGTATTAATTTTTCTCAAGGCGAAAAATTAAAACTCGTTGGGATTTTAGTCGAAAATGGTACAATTTATATCATACACCTTTATGTAAAATTATTTATATTACATTCAATATGCTTAATTTTTTGTATTATTAATTATAATTATTAATTTTAATTATTAATTACAATTATTTATTTTGAATTTATTGAATTTAATATAAATAATTTTACATAATACAATATTCTTAATTTTTTCAAAATATTATAGATGATTCAACAATTTCTCTAAAAGTCAATACAATAAATGAAATACAACAAATTAATGAAGAGCCATTACCATTGTATAAATTAATATTAGGAGGAGAAACAATTTCTCGGAAACCAAAATCATCCAGTAATTAAATATTGTATCCAGTAATAAAAGTGAATACAATAAATGAAATACAACAAATTTCTCATTTACTCATTCTCATTCTCATTTAAATTTCTCATACATTTCTCGGAAACCAAAATCATCCAGTAATTAAAAAATTTTTATCTACCAAACAACATTTTTATATTTATATTTAACATTTAATTATTCTTTATTAAATAATTTTATATTACATTTTTTAAAATTTTATTATATACTATTTAATTTAGGTGAGATGTTAGATTGGTTTATAATAAACTTTAATTTTTTTAAAGTCTATTATACCTCCTCGTGGTACATCTTGGTAACAAATTCATTGAAAATAATGTAAATATAAAAGAATAATAAATTGAATGAACTTATTTAAATTTCAAAGAATTTGGCTAAAAACCAATCTATAAAAAATTTTAAATACATTCATATTAACAGGGTTGTTTTTTCAGAAATCAAATTATGTTCGCTCATAGTCCTCTGAAGTTGTTCACACATGATCATAAGACCTAATTTTGAGGTTATGTTCTCCTTTTGTTCTCTGAAGTTGACCGCATATGAGCTTCGAACCAAATTTTGAGGTTATGTTCTCCTTTTGTCCCCTGTAAGCCCTGTACCTTGGAATGTGTAGAGGGGAGAGGACATTTAACCTTTAGACCTAATTTTGAGGTTATGTTTGTCCTCTGAAGTTGGCCGCATATAGCTTGAGACCTAATGTTGAAGTTATGTTTGTTCTTTTTTGAGGTTATGTTCGTCTTTGACAGGAAGTTATCTTAAACATACTATAGCCATTTGTGGCCAACTTCAGAGTGATGATCTTTCACCTAATTTTGAGGTTATGTTCGACTTTGACAGGAAGTTATCTTAAACATACTATAGCCATTTGTGGCCAACTTCAGAGTGATGATCTTTCACCTAATTTTGAGGTTATGTTCGTCTTTGACAGGAAGTTATCTTAAACATACTATAGCCATTTGTGGCCAACTTCAGAGTGATGATCTTTCACCTAATTTTGAGGTTATGTTCGTCTTTGACAGGAAGTTATGTTAAATATACTATGGAATCTTGAAACAGCGGCGGCGGCGATATCTTTTTGTAATATAGGTAGATATATACTAGGGGGGCTCCGCCCCCCTGCGCGCTTCGCGCGCCAACCCCCTATTTTAGATATTGGTTTTAGTAAACCTGTATATTTCATCTTGTAATCTTTAAATTTCTGAATCTGAAAATAGAAAATTAATTAATAACATAATAAAGTTTTGAAGTATTTATTGATTGGTTTTCAGCCAAATTCTTTATGAAAAATCTAAACATTTTCTTTAAGAATTTGTTTCCAAGATGCACCACGGGGAGGTGTAATAAGCTTTACAGTTTATTACAAACCAATCTTGCATCTCACCTAGACTAAAAATTTATTATAAAAAGTTAAATGGTTTGAATAACATTAATTAAAAAGTTAGGTTAATATCAATATTTATTCAAAGACTTCTTCCCAAACAATGTTTTTTATGTTTTCAAATTCTTGTGAATCAATTTCAATGTAAACTTTACTTTGATTTTTGCATCTCGAAAGCGCCACATATAGTTGTCCATGTGAAAATAAAGGCCTTCGTAAATATATTCCAACGTTTTCAAAACTTTGCCCTTGAGATTTATTTATAGTTATTGCAAATGCTAAAACTATAGGAAACTGTCTCCTTTATAAAATGAAAGGTATTGAAGAGAATTCTCCAGAATCTAAAGTAATTCTTGGAATAAAAGCAGTACTGCCAGCTTTTATTCCAGTAATTAACATAACTTTAATATTAAATTTATACAATGTAATAATTTTCATTCTTGTTCCATTACATAAACCATCATCAATACTTAAATTTCGAATAAGCATAACAATTGCTCCTGTTTTTAAAATTAATTTATGAACAGGCATACCCGGAAATTTCAAAGAATTTAAATATTCTATTGGATAATTAAGTTGTATATTGTCGTCTGTTTGGTCTAATCCTTTAGCTTTAGCATAATCAATACTATAATAAATTTTTTCTTTGTTGTTAAATTTTTGTAATACTTTATAATTTAATTTATAAATGTCTTCATTGTGGCTCGAAAGAATTACTCTATTTGACAGATCAATTTCTGCCGAAATTACAGTACCATATATTTTTGTACAAATATCGTTAGTCTTCCAAGATTCTGGGATGCTAAAAGAATCAATTTTGCCCTCTCCAATTTTTAATAATAATTCTGAAAAATTTTTATTAGAACATCTCATATTTCTTTTTAAATTCATTACTTGAAATTTATTCCACAAACGCGAATATTTAATAGACTCTTGAACTATACTTGTTCTACACCCATGTTTTAAAACCGGCAAAATTTGTCTAAAGTCTCCCCCCAGAATTATTAATTTTCCAGCAAAAGGTAAATTTTCAATTTTACAACAATCACGTAATGTTTGATCAACAATTTCTAAAGCTTTTTTGGGTATCATGGATGCTTCATCCCAAATTAATACATCACAATTCCTTAATTTTTCTTTGTCTGATTTTAATTTTAAAAATGTTGTTTCTATACTGGATAGATCTAAAGGTAATCTGAAGGTTCTATGACTGGTCATGCCACCGGGAAGTAAAATAGAAGCTATCCCAGTCCATGCCATTGAAACTACTTTTTTACTTTCTCCCAGAAAATAATGGATTAATGTTTTATATAAAAATGTTTTTCCACTTCCACCAGGTCCATCAATAAAAAACATTGAATTCATATTATGTATTATCATGTTAAAAATAATTTTCTGATCATTGTTTAATTGGTTTATTAATTCAATACTTAATTTTTTGTTTTTATTTAAAAATGATTGTTCTTCTTCTGCCGTTTGTTGAACGTCAACAAATTCAGATTCTGGTAATCCAAAATCCGAACACGTTAAGTTTTCTAAATTGAATATTAAATTAATTTCCTGCAATGCTCTTTTTTCATGATTATCTTTAAATCCTTCGCAAAAATATTGTTTAAAATTATTCCAAATTTGAGAAGAGAAATTAGCATTGTCAGCAATAAGAAACCACGCAAAAAATTTTCTTAATTCTCTGGGCATCATTATAGCACACGCTTCTTCAAAAATTTTAAAAACTTGAATGTCATTTTCTACTAATCCCATTGCTGTGGCTGTATCTTTAAATGACTGATAAACAATGTTTTCAAATGTTCTCAAGTCATTGAAAGATGTTGCTCCTTGTACTCTATTCAAAATTAATTTTAAATGGAATCGCTCAATATCTTTTGGGCTAACACTATTCATTCTACCCAAAGCTTTAAAAAATCCTTGTCGCTTAATCCAAATCTTATTTTTTGAGTCAAAAAAATAAAATTTTGGGATATTAGAGTACTTAATTTTATTAGCTTCTTTATCTTTTTGATTTAATTTGAACCACGCCGTTAATGTAGTGTCGTTATTCTTTCTTATAGCATCGTATTCTTTATCTTCTTCAAAAACAACATTTTGTTGATTTTCTATGTGTATTGCTAAACGAATAACAGAGTGTGATCGACCTGATAAAGGTAACTCTTCTATTCGCCACGCAGCTTCCATAGGACTAACGTATCGACAATCAACATATTCTGTAATTTCGTCATAAATTTCTTTGTCTTTGTTGCATTTATTTAATGCTACATAAGCTCTGTCATGACCTTTATGCATATATTTAAATAAATATTTAATACTCATCATAGGACAAAAACAATATTCGACATTTATGTGGCATTTATATTTTTTTAATAATATAGAATTATATGCAACAATCATAGAATTATCTAATTTTACAAATTTTCCATCTACTTTTTTATTATAAACATAACCTTTTTCAGTATTATCCCTGCGTTTGTATTTTGGAAATCCATTTTTATCAAATTCAGTATTATTTACAAAATCTTTAGGAAATCTTTTTGAACATAAATCTTTATTTTTCATTAAACACGGCGAATTATTTTCGTGCGGGCCATGAGACATATGTTTTATTACTAATTCCTGTAATTCATTATCATTATCAGGAATTTCTGCTGAAATATATTTATCAATTTCTTCAGGATTTACTAATTTATTTTTATAATTTAAAACAAACAATAAATGTGCATGAGGTAATCCTCTTTTTTGAAACTCAATTGTATAAACATACGCTAAAATTTTCCCAAATATAGTGCCACTTAAAATATCTGATATTATACAGCGCAGTTTAGCATTAAATAAACGAACAGTAAGATTTGGAATATCGTTACATGTTGTCCCTGGTGGAAAGTTTTTAAGTATTCTTTTTAACTCAATCCAATTTGGATTACATGTAACTGTAATAAACAAATCCGGTCTACCAACTTCCCTATTAATAGTCATGGCATCTTGATATATTTGATGCATGTGCCTGGGACTTCCAATATGGGTCGATGGTAAAACAAACATGTTTCCTAAGCGTTCTTTACTTTTGAAATTATCAATGTTATTAAATGCACTACGCGAAACGTGATCAACTAAGCCTTGATAACATTCTATTCTTAATTTATTTTGATTATAACGAAAATAATTTAATCGATTGCTTTCTATTATTATGAATGCTTGAATGATATATTGTTGACTCAATCGTCCACAAAACAAAATAGGATTAAACTTTAAATGAGGCCGAAAAGATAATCTATAAGAATAGTATTGTAAGGCTGTTAATCTTTTAGTACTTCGAAAATTTTGTTTAAAATCTGGACTCCATCCTAAATCGCCAGATGGAAACAGTATGGGAAATGTCATTGGATCTAAGTGAAATGATAATTTACTTAAAATTATTTCTTCCTCTTTCTCCTTTAATATTTTTTTTGGATAAATTTTAAAATCTATTTTAGAAGGTACTTTGCCACTTTTTGATTTCTTCTTTAATATTTTTTTTGGATAAATTTTGAAATCTATTTTAGAAGGTACTTTGCCACTTTTTGATACTATTAATGCTGCACACCCACCAGT